TTCATGCATCTCAGCTAAGCTTTGGTTTCAAGAGAAATTTCTTGACGCTTTTTCCAATTAAAGGGATTATTAGTGATTTTTACTAATTACTTGCGCTTGGAAAACTCGGAAATTTTTTGATTCACATGAATGCGATAATAAAAAAAAACAAATTTACTACGGGAATTGAGTTTTTCCCGATTTTCAGAGTTATTTACTCCTAAATCGCATTTTAGTAGTAACCAGCCGCACGCCCTCGCAGTAAATATGTACGTACATGCAATGTTTACACTTTTTCTGCGATGCTAAATTTACAGTTAAGTAGCGTGTATTCGCCGCATCGGCATCGCCGATTATTAACATGTTACCGTTTTATGTAATCGTGCAACTCTCTAGCGTCTACATGTACAGCCATGCTCCCTGTTAGGCATTGGCCAGCCCTCTATGTAAGCAGTGTTGGCACTAATCGATTGATTTTTTAATCAATTAGTTAATTCGATTAAATTTAATCCGATTACAGTTAGTCATGATTAATTTTAATCGGACTAAACATGTAATCGTAACCGCGATTAAAAAAATTAATTTTTAATCATTAACCCTTAATTTGATTAAGTAGGTTTGGTGATTAATTAATTTATGGTGGAATTTTCCTGTGCACACAAAGCCAGTTAATCGGGTATGGCTAAGTCGGATTTCCTCATCAATCTAAGCAATTTGGTGTGCATTTTCATTAAGATCTATACCATAGATGGGCACACCAATACAGTCTCATTTTGTCATGGTATTCGTGAATCGCGCTGAGTAATAGTTGCCACTTTTCTATATTGTACAAAAATGCGTCGTTTTTTGCGCGTGTTAGAAAACGCTCTTACAAATTTATATTTAATTTGTATTATGAACATGAAACGAAAATAATAAAATATAATAAAAAAATTATGAAGAAATAATTTCAAATAATGAATTATGAAATTAATTTTTATAAGTACATATGTACGTGCATGAAAAGTTTTTTAATTTAATTTCATTAAACTAATGTTTTAAAAAATGATAGTTTATTCAACAACAAAATTCACGAATTTAAAATTTCTAAACTGTGTTAAAAACTCAGTATTCAATAAAGTATACTAAATATATTAAATTGCCGTATCGTGCATACATATATACATAAAACCCATTAAAAAAAACTTTAAATTGGTTTACACAGTTCGGCAGTTTGACTTTTTTACCATGACAAATAGCTCGCCTTATATTAAAAGTACGATTCCAAGTAGTCGCATTACCACATAACAAGCATTGGGCGTTATTGGCTTTTCTTAAAACCAAAAACTGTAATTGGCACTCATACGCAGCCATTTTGGGCATTGTTACATATATAGGTGGCAACAACGCGCTAAAATTACAAATAAAAATATTCAACGGCGAAGCGTGGTGTCACTCTCATGAAAACTGAAAGCAGACTGAATTGAAATTCGCTGCGTCGTTTCTGTATACGTATAAGCGCTGCGACGCAGACGCTACTCGCGAGTAGCGTTTTGCCCATCATTGTTATATACCAACAGACGTTTTACAAACTAAGTTTTAATATCCCTCTGCTCATGTGCGCTGGGTTGTAAAAGTTCCAAGTTTATTTATTACTTATAACAATAATTATATTTTTTTTTTATATTACGTGCTTTTTATAAGCGTAAACACACAAAATAATTACTATAACTGGTGTTTGGTTTCAAATTCGGATAAACTAGACAACTTAATCAGATTTTCTTTTTAATTGGATTAACGATTAATGATTAAAATTAATTAATAGTAATCGCAGCCAGCGATTAACGATTGAAAAAATTTAATCATTAATCGTACAGTGGATTACGATTAATTAATTTTAATCGGCAATCATGATTAACATTTTAATCGTTAATTTTTAATCGTTAGTCAGATTAACATTTTTCAAACACTGTATGTAAGTACTTCCAAATTAGTTTGGCAATGCAAGTCTCGACTAAATTATGTTGGTAAAGATAACGAGATTGCTTTACTCTGGGTGTCGGGCAACTCGGCAGTGCCTGGAATGAGACATCTGACCCTTTGGCCACAGTTGGCTTAGACCAGGCATTCCTCGATCCGCAACCAGTTACAGCACTTCCCACTTCGACTATCGAAGCCACCATCAGAAACTGGGTGGATACTTCGCTCAGCAATGACTGGGAGCCATCGAGTGGATGCAGGTGGGAAAAACTCATCTTGCCTTCAATCTCAGGTCAATCTCGTCTTTTCCTCTTACTGAAAACACGGGACTGCTGACTGGTCGCTTCACGTGGCACAAACACCTGACTGTGATAGGCGTAAATGGCAACTCCATTTGTCCATTCTGCTTTGAAGAGGATGAGACGGTGGAACACTTTTTGAGCTTCTTACTTGCTTGTTATCATCGATTTATCTACACCTTTTCAACCCAGTAATGAGAAAACGTAAATTATAATGAGAATACGTAAATTTATAATAAGAAAACGTAAATTGTATTGAGAAAACCTAACTTAGTATTGAGAAAATGTAAATTATATTGAGAATACGTAAATTAATAATGAGAAAACGTAAATAGTAATGAGAAAAAGTAAATTGATAATGGGAAATTGTAAATTTATAATGAGATAACGTAAATTTGTAATGAGAAAAGGTAAATTTATAATGAGAAAACGTAAATTTATAATGAGAAAACGTAAATTTATAATGAGAAAACGTTAATTTATAATGACATCGGGTTTACTGCTTTGAGGTTTTGAACTTTAATTATTTGAATTTCATCTAATTGTGAAAGTAGGCGTCTCACTCGTAGTTTTTTCATTGCGCCCAATGAAACGTAACTACATACATATAGACATTTGTACGTAAAAATGCAGTTTCAAGACGATTGTGCGATTTGTCTTACAAATATGAAGTATAGCAGTGTTTCGCGTATATTAAACTGCAAACATTTATTCCATTCAAAGTGTATTGCACCAATTGTATCGCGGAATGAGACGTGCCCGATATGCAGAAATAATATTGTTGGTGAGTTTTNTTCGGTCCTTCCTTTTTTGTCTGTTTCTGCAGCTTTGCAGGTTTGTGTTTTAAAAATGCGAGTGACGAATATTTTTCGCATCACTTTAAAACTCGGAACGATAGAAATAACAATGATTTTTAATATTTTTATTGAGCTTTGTACCACGATTGTTTATTAGGAAAAATTGAAAAAGCAACAAAGTCTAAGCGGTAGAAGTTATAGCACTATTTCGGAGATCACCACATCTCCTCATCAGACTTCTTTTTTCTAGATTTCAGCAGGGATCGAACCTGCGTTACCGTATTCAAAGTCGTAGAAGCGTTAACCACTGAGCTATGTATATCCCGTAAACTCTTGTTGCTAATTCATTTCCTTATTCAACCAACTACTATCAAGTGCAGCTGATTTGCCGCTATTTAAACTCGACAGCGTGGTGACTTTTTTGCTTTTCAATTTTTCCTAATAAACAATCGCGGTACAAAGCTCAATAAAAATAAAATGTTAATAAGCCACAATAACATTGACAAATACATAGTATAGGAAGAGCCTGCCTGAAACTGTACAAAAAAGCAAACGGATGTAATGGATGGAATTGACAACAACAACCACGCAGTCGAGTTTAAATAGCGGCAAATCAGCTGCACTTGATAGTAGTTGGTTGAATAAGGAAAATGAATTAGCAACAAGAGTTTACGGGATGTACATAGCTCAGTGGTTAACGCTTCTGACTTTGAACATCGAATTCGCAGGTTCGATCCCTGCTGAAGTCTAGAAAAAAGAAGTCTGATGAGGAGATGTGGTGATCTCCGAAATAGTGCTATAACTTCTACCGCTTAGACTTTGTTGCTTTTTCAATTTTTCCTAATAAACAATCGTGGTACAAAGCTCAATAAAAATATTAAAAATAAAATGTTAATAAGCCACAATAACATTACAAATACATCGCATGCAAATTTATGAGTAAGCCGAACATGTGAGGAGTTTATTTAGTGCTCTTAAAAAATATAACTCTTCAGAGCGGAATAGTCCTTTCATGGCTTTAAAACTTGCAAGTGTGTAATCACATTATTGATTATGAGGAGATGTGGAAAATAGCTGCTATAACTTCTACCGCTTAGACTTTGTTGCTTTTTCAATTTTTCCTAATAAACAATCGTGGTACAAAGCTCAATAAAAATATTAAAAATAAAATGTTAACAAGCCACAATAACATTGACAAATACATAGTTTAGGAAGAGCCTGCCTGAAACTATACAAAAAA